CTGCACAGACAGATAAGCCAGGCAGCCAAAGTACACTGAGAGACACCTATCGAATTCAAAGCAAGAGGGGAGTCGAGGGGAAGCCCATTTGAAATGCCTACAACTGGAACACTGAAAGGGGATTTAATGGGCCAATATTTACCGACGCCTCGCTATCCTGGGGGGCAGTGGGCGACGGTGTGGTGGGAGGTCTTTTTCTTGGAGAGTGCAACGGGGAAGAAAAGACGTTAGGGGCAAGTATAACAGTGTGGTGGAGTGATGTGAGATATAGTTCAGTCTTAGGGAGGAAATGTTCAGATATTTGAGAACTGGTTCAGTCATGTGATAGATTTATGGGGGAAAGGGTTGAGCCGTAGGATAAAGCGATGTGAGAAATGGTTAAGCAATATGATAAAACGCTATGGTATATATAGCTTAGCCATACAATTGATTGATAGTTAAAAGTGGCTGATTTGAAAAGTAGTTCAATTATGTTAAAGGTGATGTGAAATACTGTTCATAAGTATGATAGTGATGTGATAACGGAGGATGTTGAAGCATTCTGTTCGACCGCAGTACTATGCTAATTATAAAAAATGATATTTATGTTAAAGGTGTCCATGATTAAATGAAAGTTGTTATTTATAGTAAATGATACTTTGGTTGACGCGGGTGCTGTTCCCCATGCCAAAGTTTGCAACATTGGTGACCTTTCCTTAAGAATATCTTGTCATAAAAATCTTTTTTCATGACGGTCAAACAAAAGCTCCATCTGCCTGTGAGAATAGTGACTGTCTATGGTGTACTGTGCCAATGTGGGTGCCAACCTCACGTAATGACAGGGTGGTGAAGACTTATCACTAAAACGAATACCATACCTACGGAACAAACACTTTGCTGCATTAGTACGTTTCAGTACCTGTTGCATTGTGCAGTGCATTACTCCATACTTGCTTCATAAATAATGCTTTGTTTTATGAATATTTACTTCCATACATACAGTTCTATAATTCATACATAATGCTTACTTTTGCAATCAGCGTAACTTTAGATTATTTTATCTAAAGCAACGATAATTTTAATGATGATTTTAATTCAAAATACTTTATTTATCTCAAACTATACTTCCTTTTTTATATAACCATTTACTCTACGCCAAAATTCGATGCACACAATGCTTCCCATTATACAAAATGCTTCCTTTTCTTTTAAAGAATACGTTTACGAAATAACACGCGACCAAAAATCACCAACATGCACTCACCAGCATCTAGCGTCGTGAAGGCAAAGGACTCGTTCACATCCCCGCGCCCGTACTCGTTCCTCGCTACGACCCGGACGTGGTAGGCTGACCCGGGCTCGAGGTCCGTGAACGTGTGGCTCATCGAGTGGTACTTGGAGGACGACGTTGTGCCGGGGACGCTGAAGGTGATCCAGTGGTCCTCCTCGTCGGTGTCCTGGCAGAGGAAGGGTTCGAGTGTGATGTGTAAATGGGTTGGAGTAAAGATGGGGGTGGTGGTGGGAGGGGATAGCGATGGTGGTGGTGGTGATGATGGTGATGACAGTGGTAATGGCTATGTCAATATCAATGGCGATGATAGTGATAGTGATGGAATATAAAGAATCACTGGGGCTGAAATATATTGCCATATTCCCATGCTTGTGTGCAAAATTCAGTGCTTATCTTTCCACATAGTCATCCTTCTCTGTGTGTGTGCTCATTTCGACATTTAAAAATTATATAAAAATCATAATAAAGAAACTTACATTCCTATACGCAATTTCATATGATAAGACTGGAACATACGACTCGACATCCCAAACGAGTGTATAATTGCTCTCCATATCTCCCTGATGAGGACTCGAATATCTGTGGAAAGTAACATGTTATGATTATTCGACATAATGTACATAAGGGTGTCATTTCATTTCCTTACACGTCACATAGCCACTTACAGACGTACACAGACAAAGAGTCGTGTGTCTATTTGCTTGTATATCTGTACAGTACATACTACATGCCACACACACACACACACACACACACACACACACACACACACACACACACACACACACACACACACACACCACACACACACACACACACACACACACACACACACAGACACACACACACACACACACAGAAAATAGATATTTGCCTGTACTTACCTAACAGGTTTCGGTCTAGCAGATAGTCTAACTGAAGCCGAATCATTGCCCATGAAATTCGTGGCGTTACAAGTATAATCTCCCAGGTCTTCTAAATGTACTCGAACAAACTGTAGTGAATATCTGAAAGAACAAGAAAAAAAAATCCAATGATCTAATATATACGAGCATTGATTTGACATGTGGTTGTTTGTATTTCAGGGTAACCGTCATTTTTTACTGTCTCTCTCTCTCTCTCTGTCTCCCTCCATTCCCATCCCCCCTCCCTCTCCTTTCTCCCTCCCTCCCTTTCCCTCCCTTTTTCCCTCCCTCTTCCTTTCTCCCTTTCTCCCTCCTTCACTCGCTCCCTCCATCTCCCTCTCGATCTCCATCTCTCTCCATCTCCCACTCCATCTTCCTCTCCCTCTCCCTCTCCATCTCTCCTTCTTTTTATCCAAGCTTCTGTAATTTTGTCTCACCTTTTATGATTGTTAACCGTCCTTATGAGTCTAATAGGATCGACTGGCGTGCCCCCTTTCCTATACCACTGAACCTGGGCGCGGGGCTCGGCGTAGACAAAGCAGGCTAACGTCGCTTCGTGGCCTACTCCTGTGTACACTTCCGTCTCCTGAGCTCGAACTACAGGCGGATCTGTAAATGAAAATAGGTAAAAGATTGTACTGTGATAATTATACGGAGAGAATGACATTCTTTAATATGCATTTGTTTGTGGTGGGTTAGGCTAAGTAAAAGGTACTGATGTGTAGAATTATCAAACTACTAGAGTTACCCATTACAAAAAAGAAATTGAGAAAATGGAGACGTAAAATACAGAAAATGGACACTGAAGGGGTAATTTAGAGAATTATTAGTATTGCTTGTTTAAACATAATAAAGGAAAACTCAGATAGTCTTTTAGTAAATGTATTTCTAATCATGATGCCCGTATATATGTATGTATAATGCAACCCCACACCTTTTTTGTGAATAGAATACTTTTCCAATAGCTTTAGTCGTGTTTCGAACGAATGTAGAACTCATTTCCTTCGCAAACGAAGCACAACTACGATATCGGCCTCGACAGCTCGGGAGGGCATGATAGGCCTACATATCTGGGAATTTTGAGAAATATCGGTAGAATACTAGTAAGCATTGTATATTAACTCGTTTCCCGGTTATATAGAGGGCTCCGCACCCTTAAACCCCCTTTCAGGAGGAGCTGCGACCCCCTACCCCCCGCCGCCTGGTCAATAAAATCTTCACCTCGTATGTTCCGGCAGGAGAGAGCCTAGACCCGGGAAATTTTAACCTCTCTTACCTGAAGCATCTTACTCTAGACGGGCCAGGCTGCGGAACACTGGGATCGTTGGGCTATTCCAGGTCGTTGTTGGCGGGAATTGGGTTCGCTTACAGTAAAGTTACACTGCTTTCTTCGTTTTGTTTTTTGAACCCTTTTCCATGCACTAAATGACAGACCCACAGGGGTCTGTCATTTCTGTACCCTTTTCCATGCATCAAATTTCCGTAATGACACGATGTCTTACAGTGCGGGCATTGTACTTCCACTGGCAGTACACCGTGATGTAATTTAGTAAGCTTCCTTCGTTTTTTGGTATTTCGCAGTGAAATCGAAAAAAAGAAATCTCACAACCTACACACTGTCTAGCCATGATGGAACTGATTTGAATTTCAACTGCCTTCTCCAGGGTCCAACTTCTATTATCACGTGATGATCTATTCCACATCTGATTGGTTCAATTGAGTGGCTATGTTCACGCACGAATTTAATTGGCTCATTTGATTTCCCATTTCTCATACATCATCCGCTACAAATCCGTCCGATTTCCCGTCGCTCTTAACGACTTTTTGTCATTTTGTCGCGGCGCGGCCGGGAGCGGAAGGTTACTGCGGCTCTTGGAAATCGTGGATTTGATAGCCTCTATAACTCCGTTATTAGCAATTTGCGCAGAAAATGGTATAAAAGAAAACTTTCATAGAATGATGTGCTCTACGATATGGTAAGCTCAGATTCTTTAAATAAGGCGTGGGGTTGCATTTCCAATAATACCCCAATGGTATATGACATAACAATTGTTATATGTCATATGATATTATGGCATATGACAATTATCATTATCACTAGTAGTTGTTGTAGAAGGAAGCATTAGTAGTAGGAGTAGCAGGAGTAGTAGATGTATCATTATTATCATTTTCATTATTACCATCAGTATCATTATTATTATCATAATTATCATTACCGTTATCATTATACTTTTTATCATTATCATTATTATCATCATTCTCATTACTATTTTTATTATCATTATACTTTTTATCATTATCATTATTATCATCATTCTCATTACTATTTTTATTATTATTATCATCATCATTATTTTTACCGTTACTATTATCATTATCATTATCATCATTGTCATAATTTATCTTTACATTATTACTATTATCCCTATTATCATTACTGCCACTAATACACTTGATATTATTCTTTCCAGAATTACCATTATCATAACTATTATAATTACTATTATGATTACCATCACCATTAGTACTACCATTATCATTATCATCATTCTCATTTGCATGTGCTAAATGAAGAGGAAAGAGCGTGTTAGTCGAGAGACAATACAGCGAGCGAGTGACATGACCTCCGGAACAATGGGGTCCGAGCGAGACACACCGACAGCGCGTTACGTATGAAAAAAATGTGTACTCTTTCCTCGTTTGGCCTTGTGGGGAGGGGTCCTAGTTCATGTTAGTTTTGTATGAATGTGTGTGTGTGTATACGTGTATATATATATATATATATATATATATATATATATATATATATATATATATATATATATATATATATATATACATGTGTGTGTACACACATACACACACACACACATATATATGTGTGTGTGTATATATACATTTACATATATAAATGTGTATATATATATATATATATAATATATATATATATATATATATGCATATCAATATATTTATTTATCTATTTATTAATATACATATACATGTACATATACATACACACTAATCTCTCTCTCTCTCTCTCTCTCTCTCTCTCTCTCTCTCTTTCTCTCTCTTTCTCTCTTTCTTTCTCTCTCTCTCTCTCTCTCTCTCTCTCTCTCTCTCAACTCTCTGTCTCTCCCTCTCTCTCTCTCTCTCCTGCTACTTACGCATGACCTCCAGCGTAATGGTCGTGGAAGCGGGCCGACCCACGCCGTTGCTCGCCGTGCACCCTGTATTTGCCATTGTCCTCCGGTTTCGCGTTCGCAATGGTAAGGTTCTTCCCTACTTTAGCACTCGTCCCTGGAATCGGAAATGGGGAAAAGGAGGTGAGGCGAGGTCTGTGAAGTGTGTGTGTGTGTGTGTGCGTGTGTGTAAAGAGAGGGGGGGGGAGGGAGGAAGGGAGGGAGAGAGAAAGAAAGAGGAGAGGAGAGAGGGAGGGGGGAGAGAGAGAGAGAGAGACGGGGGGAGGGAAGGGAGGGAGAGGGGGAGTGTGTTTTTTATGTATGTAAAGACCTCTGAATTTCCTCATTAATTATCAATGGATATATAGCGACAAAAACTCAATAAACAGGGTAATACTCTCCTAAACAAATTACCCAAATACCATGTTTCACTTCCTCTCCCTGAAAAAAAAAGAAAAAAAAGAGAGAGAGATATATGCGTATATATTATATATATATATACACATATATACTGTATGCTGTGTGTATGCGCACACACACACACACACACACACACACACACACACATATACATATATATATATATATATATATATATATATATATATATATATATATATATATATATATATATATATATATATATATATATATATATTACATATATATAGTAGAAAAACAAAAATAAAAGTATCAGCTATTTCTTTTGCTCTTCTTTTTTTTTTTTTTTTTTTTTTACCCCCTAGAAACACATTATAAACCGCACCTACCTCAGTACTCCACGTTATGTTAGGTTTAGGGTTACCAGTTGCGTTACAGCCGAGGTTGGCTGTACTGCCCATTTTGATTGTCATAACTTTACGCCCATTCGCTGGTACCACTGTAGGAGGCACTGTAATGAGCGAAAATATCATTAGTAATTCCGAAGCGTGTGTATGTTTTTGTGTATTGCTGGAGCTTGTTTTTGAATGAACATGCAGGTTATTTTGTATAAAAATTTCCGTATTTCCCTTATAATTGATAGAAATTTTCATATTGATTTATCGGCACTTGATTCTCTTATATGACATGTAGACCCTTCAGTCTGCGATAGGGAATCCAAACAGGATATCATAAGTATAGGAGTTGCACTGTTACAAGAATTTTAGGGATTCAGAACTATGTATTTTTTACCGAATTTTTATAATATTCAGCATATAGTAGCTGCACCATTACAAAAACCTTCAGGATTCATAACCAATCTAATTTTGTTAAAATTCGAAATTCAACAGAAAATCATAAGTACAGTAGCTACATCATTACCAAAACCTTTGCAGGCTCAGAACTCATCATTTCTGTCAATTTTTGACGATATTCATGGTCAGTTCAACCGAAAATAATAAGTATATAGCGTAGCATCTGTATAAGAATCTTAGGAGTTCAAAACTGTTTTATTCTTAACTATTCAACATTCAACCATATCTTGATTTAAAATCCTAGTTGGCAACTTCCGAGGTAAGCCCCACCCCAACATCTATTATTCATTGCAAATGTGAGATATATGTTTTGTTTTGTTTTGTTTTGTTTTTTTCTTGGTTTCTTTTTTGTCGGTATTACTGAACCATTTTAAAAGAAAATGTACTGAATAACACATAAAATTTCAAACAAATTGTTGGTGTCAAGAAAGGGGGTGGAGCCTAATCACGTTTAGCCAATGAGAGTGCGCCGTGAGATATCAGATATTGCTAGGTACATTATTTGTATAATTTACCCGCTTTTGTTTTAATCATCAAAAGTAGAACCAAAATTTCCATCCTTTATTTACAATAATGAAGAGTTCCATACCATTAACAACCGTCAGAATACTCTAGGAAAGAAGTCAATTTCATTTTTGTGTTCAACAGGCTAAATGGAAGTGGAGCTTCCTAGGTATACGTTCCTTGAACATAATTAAAGGAATTCCATCATTACAAGAATCTTCTGAGTAAAGAACTATTAATTTTGCTGAATTTTGATGATATTTGTGGTCACGCAAGGCAACAGAAGTTCATAAGTGTAGGTCCTCTATCGTTAAAGAATCTTCTAGGTACCTTTATCTATTTTTGACGACTTTTTATGACTCGTCCCGGCGAAGTTCAACAGAAGATCATAAATTGGATCGTTACAAAAATCTTCGGGGTTCAGAACAATATATTTTCTAAAAGTTTGTTGATATCCGTTGTCTCACCATTCATCTCTCTCTTCTCTCTCTCTCTCTCTCTCTCTCTCTCTCTCTCTCTCTCTCTTCTCTCTCTCTCTCTCTCTCTCTCTCTCTCTCTCTCTCTCTCTCTCTCTTTAATATCAAATTCACACAGCTGAAATAAATCAATCTATTTGTAATGTATAATGGACACTACACCAAAAAGGTTGATAATCTATTCACTCGTTCTGCTTTTTTCTCTTTTTCATTTCTTCTTTTCCTTTCTTATTGAGCATATTCGCAAACACATTCACATAGCTAGCACACATATACAACCATTTGCACACGCAAACCAACAACCACATGCCCAAATGCACAACATGCACACACACACACACACACACACACACACACACACACACACACACACACACACACACACACACACACACATGCGTCATAGTACATAAAATACAAAAGACTGGATATTCTAGTCTTCGTGGAACATTGCCAAACAGCTGTTGTAACTTTATGGCCATTACAGAAAACTAATAATCTCGTATTTATTTCTTGGCTATGGTCTCGCTCTCTTCTCCCTCTCCCTCCTCTCTCTCTCTCTCTCTCCTCTTCTCCTCTCCTCTCTCTCTCTCTCTCTCTCTCTCTCTCTCTCTCTCTCTCTCTCTCTCTCTCTCTCTCTCTCTCTCTCTCTCTCTCTCTCTCTCTCTTCCTCTCTCTTTCCTCTCTCCTCTCTCTCTCTTCTTCTCTCTCTCTCTCTCTTCTCTCTCTCTCTCTCTCTTCCTCTCTCCTCTCTTCTCTTCCTCTCTCTCTCTCTTCTCTCTCTCTCCTCTCTCTCTCTCTCTCTCTCTCTCTCTCTCTCTCTCTCTCTCTCCCTCTCTCTCTCTCTCTCCTTCCTCTCTCCTCCTCCTTTCCTCCTCTGTCTCTTCCTCCTTTCCCTCTAATCTTTCCCCTTTCCTTCCTTTCTCTTTCCTCCTCCCCTCCTCCCTTTTTTGTCTTCTCCCTCACCTCCTTCCTCCCCCCTCTCTCTCTCTCTCTCTCTCTCCTCTCTCTCTTTCTCTCCTCTCTCTCCTCTCTCTCTCTCTCTCTCTCTCTCTCTCTCTCTCTCTCATCTCTCTTCTCTCTCTCTCTCTCTTCCTCTCTCTCTTTCCCTTCCCCTTCCCCCTTCCCCCTTCCTCCTTCCCCCTTCCTCCCTCCTCCTCCTCCCTCCTCCCTCTCCTCCTCCTCCTCCTCTCCTCCCTCTTCCTTCTCTCTTTCCTTCTTCTTCCCCACCTCTCTCTCTCTCTCTCTCTCTTCCATTTTTTTTCTCTGCCTTACTCTTCTTAGCAAGAGGCGTGTTTATAAACATTTGCCTATTCTCCGCCATAAATCAGTACTTGGCATCCGAAGTTAAATGAATCATAGGGAAGTTTGAAATAAGTATTGCCATCTAGGCGTCATCCAGTTTATGGCGTCAGCTTCAATAACCTTAATAACAGTGACAATAAAAGACGAGACAATGCTGTATATTCGGGGAATTAGATAACAAGTATTCGCTTTGTTTTATTTGCATACTTATTAATTTTCTATTATTGACTGAATTATAGTTCAAGAACAATGTATTTTCTTAATTTATTATATGTATTTTCAGATTCCAGGTTTTGAAATCTCACCACATAAATTTCGAGTAGAAATTAAACTATCAAAGTTGATAAACAAACTTTATGCCATAACTCTTTTAAACTCTCAAGTAATAAATAACTTGTAATACTCGTATCAGAACTGTTTCGTTTTAATTAACACGCAATATTAATTACTAAGTGCATGGTTACTTTTAACCCTACTAATAACAATGGCACATATCACTCTGTCAGGAACGTAATTTTTGTTAACTGTTATGTTATCATCTTTTCTGCGCCTACATATGTAAAGAAATGCCGTTCAAATGAAAATGTGCAAATTCTACTTAGATCACAAATCAAAGAAATCTCAGGTATGATTCTTTTAAATAAATATTCATTTGTGCTTAATTAGTAATGGAGGAACAAATATCACTGTCAAAAGGAAACGCTGAAAGTATAAAATTTTTAATTTCTTCAAACTTGTGAACTTTAGATAACATGAACCATAGCGTTATTGTTCATTTGTTGCTGTAATTATCTACAAACATCGAAAAAAATCAAAACAAGCAATTTCTCGCCTACGAAAATTGCATAATCTTATTGCATTCTTAGAGAGAGAGTGGTATGTGTTTGCTTTCGTTCGTTTGTTTGTTTGTTATCTTTGTTTTGTCTTTGTTTTGTTTTTTTATGTTGTTCTTATGTCCCTGATATAGCTCTCCAATATTGCGCTCTGTTTTAATTAAATGTTTTTTTAACTTTAGGAGAAAAAAAAAAAAAAAAAAAAAAAAAAAAAAAAAAAAATATATATATATATATATATATATATATATATATATATATATATATATATAAAGCGAAAAAAAATACGTCACTGCAACTGACATCAAGAACGAGGAAAAACGAACACGGAATCGCAAGTGACTTCGAAGACGGAAAAAAACACGACATCGCAACTGACCTAAGAAAAAAAAAATAAATAAAAACAGGGCAGTTAATCTCAAGAACAAGAAAAGAATAAACGACATGTCACCCATACTGACCTCTGACCTTGAGGTTTGACCTTTGATATAGCTCTCCAATATTGCACTTCGTTTTGCTAAAATATTTTTCACTTTAGGAAAATCGAAAAAAAATACGTCATTGCAACTGACCTCAAGAACATAAAAAAGAACATGACATCGAAACTGACCTCAAGAACAAGGAAAAATAGAACATCGCGAGTGACTTCAAGAACAAAAAAATAATAATAAAAAGAATAACACGAAATCGCTGATGAGCTTAAGAACAAAAAACTAATAAAAATAATAACACGGCATCGCAAATGACTTCAAGAACAAAAAATAAATAAATAAATAACACGGCATCGTAACTGACCTTAATAAAATAGATAAAAAATAATAAATAAAAAACAGGACAGTTAATCTCAAGAACAAGAAAAAAAATAAAACGACACGTCACCCATACTGACCTCTGACCTTGAGGAAGTGCATGACATTTCGAGGAGGATCTGTGTCGGAGAGCTCGCAGGTGTAAGTTCCCTCGTCAGTGGCCTCGATGCCTTTGATGGTGAGGGACGTGTCGTTGCGGCCGAGGCGGTCGTCCTGCTCGACAGTCTGATGGGGAAGGGGGGGGGTGATGGAGGGGAGGGGGTCAAGAGGCGTTTGGGCAGTTTTGTTATTAGTTGTTATTGTATTTGGATAGATTCTTTGTTATTTGTTAGATGTCAAATAAGGCAGTGTGGTGGGTTGTATTTTCATTTATCTATCCCTCTTTATACATGTAATTATGAATGTGCATATATATATATATATATATATATATATATATTATATATATATATATATATATATATATATATATATATATATATATATATATATATGTATATTTAAATTGTGTTTGTGTGTCTGTTTGTGTGTTTATGTGCACTAGACCATATAATGTTGGAGAATCCTGTAATATGTTGTTGTTGTTATTGTTTTAATATTCTTTCTTTCTTTAAATGAATATGGATAACTTTACAGCGCTAGAGATAAAACTCTTGTGAAGTTATCCATCTCAATTTAAACCGTTTTCTACGTTCTTCTTGTTTTTCCTCTCCGTTTTCTTCTACTC